GTCATGTCTGATTGTATGACTTTTGCTATGGTTGCTAAGCAAATCGGGCTAGTTGTTATGTGGATTCTGCCGTCGATAAGCAAAACTGGTTTTCCCCCATTGACTTTGTTTGTCAGAAGTCGTTTGGGAAGGTCCTAAATAGTGACCAGGTAGCCTTTGACACTGTAACAACCAATGTAAACACATGCCAGATGACCAAGCACCATATTTTGATCAGGTGGCCATGGGGATGCTGCAGTTGTCTTAAGTGCTAGGATTAGCTGCAAGTCACTGTTTTCAGCACCATTGTAACTTCAAAAGTTCCCTGAACAAATGGCCATAAACCGAGGAGTATCTGCACTACAAAAGCTGTGCTTCCGACATATTGAAAAACAGTTTCCATGCAGACGAGGCAAGGTTGAACAAGATGATCTAATCCTGTGATTTGACTTGGTGCAAGGCAGGGGTGTCAAACTCAAAGCTTGCGGGACAGATATGGTCTATGGGGTGCTTACATCTGGCCCATGGGGCTGCCCTGGAAACAGCAATAGACTGGCCTGCGGTGCTTCTGCCAGTGAAAATGGAGCTTGGAAAGGCCGCACATGGTCCCCCCGGGCTCCATTTTCAGCCATGATGGCCTCCTGGAGCCATCCACTAATGAAAACAGAGCAGCCAGCCCTCCTGGGCTCCATTTACTCTGGCAGAGGCTAGTAAAATAAACTAAAAGCAGAACAAAAGGAGAAATGTTTCCCCTTTTGCATTTGTGCATCCAAGAAGGGACAGGAAAGGAAAAAGGGAAAGAGGAAAGTCAAAAAGAAAAAGAAGAAAAGATGGGAAGAGAGAAAGGAAGGAAAAATAAGGAAAGAGGGGAAGGAAGGAGAATGAAGAGGAAAGAAGGAAGGAAGGAGATTATAATAAGAGGGAGGGAGGGTCTGAGGGAAGTCCTGCCTTAGGACTTGGCCACCACAGGTGCACCTGGCATGAGTGACATTGAGCTGGCCACACCCACCTTGGCCACGCCCTCTGCACACACATACACCACCACCCCCGTGAGATCAAACACAACCCTGATGCAACCCTCAATGAAGTTTGACACCCCTGGTGTAAAGCATTTGGGTATTTTTTTTCTCATTACACTCTCCTGCTGTGAGTCCACATTTCACCTTGATTTGTAATATACTACATGCACAAGAAAAAAAAAAGACTCTGAGCTTATCGATCAAAAAGCTCAGCAGTTTGGCGGTTCGAATCCCTAATGCCGCGTAACGGAGTGAGCTCCCTGTTACTTGTCCCAGCTTCAGCCAACCTAGCACTTCGAAAGCATGTAAAAATGCAAGTAGAGAAAAAATATATTCTCCAGTTTTAAACTTGTAAGGAAAAATAAATATATTAACATTCATTTGAAGAAAACAAAGTTACTTTTTTTTGGGTCAGAGGGACTCCGAGGTAGCAAATAATAGAGCTATTGCATCAATGCAACTGGCCCAAGGCCTGCATTCTATGTATCAGAATTTATTTTTGTAGCACAATGGCCAGTAATGCTATTAGATCAATTAGGCAATCCCCTCATTATGACTTATTAATACTGAATTTCTGAACTGCTTCTATAATAGATGTCTGCAAAATTCTGTGCTCCTGTCACAAAACATTCAGATGTTCCTCTTTTTTTTTCCTGGGATCCACAATTACAACTATTGCAGGGATGCCTGAAATTTTCCAGAAAACTGAATCCATTTCTGGTATTGAAAATACCACGAACCATCTTCCCTGGTGCATTTCAAGACAAAAATGAATTATCCTTCAGAACAATAGAACATTTCATGATGGAACACAAGAGTCTTGAGCGCAAGTACTATTAATTCCGCATCTATCTTTCCGGTATGGCCTATGCATGTAAAAAGGTAAAGGTTCCCCTTGCAAATATGTGCTAGACGTTCCCGACTCTAGGAGGCGGTGCTCATCTCTGTTTCAAAGCCCAAGAGTCAGCACTGTCCGAAGAAATCTCCGTGGTCATGTGGCTGGCATAAGTAAACACTGAAGGCGCATGGAACACTGTTACTTTCNTTGGGAGGAAATGGGGATTTTGCAGTATCCTTCCCCTGGAGTGGGGAGGGAATGGAGATTTTACAGTATCCTTCCCCTGCCACGCCCACCAAGCCACACCCACAGAACCGGTAATAACAATTTTGAATCCCACACATGTGCTATCCATCGTGTACCACAAAGGATGGACTAGATGCACGCTCACAAAGGTTCAAGGGCATTCTGCAACATCATTTGGGGCTTCTCCCTCCACTGATGTCACCTTGCCTTCAGGTGTCACTTTGAGGAAGGTCTGACACTGGCTGGAGTCACTCTTTTGCACAAAGGACCATAGTCTTCCCAACAAAGTAATACCTATTTGTCTACTTTTGCATGTAGCATGCTTTCGAACTGCTAGGTTGGCAGAAGCTGAGGCAAGTGATGGGAGCTCACTCCACCAAGTGATGCTATGACTCAAACTGCCAGAGTACGGACCTTTCCCAGCATCATTAAGCCACTAAGCCACTGCATCTCTATAGAACTAATATTCCATATTATAAAGGAGTAGAGGGTGACCTGGGAGAAGGTTTTAAAAAGCCATTAAAGGAAAGGAAGGAAAGGAAGGAGGGAGGGAGGGAGGGAGGGAAGGAAGGAAGGAAGGAAGGAGCCATTTAAGACAACAGAAGGAAATTGCATAATCATTAGAGGCCATCATGAGAATGAAACTCAAAACTTGGTTTTGTTCGACAGAATATGGAGTAGAGAACAGGCTTTCAAGATTCAGTTTTATTTTTTTACTTTAGTAGAATAAACAACATTCTGGGAATCTGCAAGCCTCTGTCTTGACCTGCCTTATTTGGAGAGCTGATACAGTGCGCCCACATGGTCAGAGATACACAGACTAACTAAATGTCTTGAAATGCTACTCGTCTTAAACGAATGGTTGTGTGGAGGGAAAAAAGCAGCTTTAATTACAAGGAATTTACAAACACTTCTGGCAAGCATGCATTATAAAGCTTCAAGCAGGTTTTAGGAAAAAAATAATTTGCATTAGAATTCTTAAAAAATGTTGCAATGACATGAGCAAAATATATCATCATTTCTGTAGGGTGAATATAGCAGTAGACTTATATACCGCTTCATAGGGCTTTCAGCCCTCTCTAAGCGGTTTACAGAGAGTCAGCATATTGCCCCCAACAATCTGGGTCCTCATTTTACCCACCTCGGAAGGATGGAAGGCTGAGTCAACCCTGAGCCGGTGAGATTTGAACCGCTGAACTGCTGATCTAGCAGTAGCCTGCAGTGCTGCATTTAACCACTGCGCCACCTCGGCTCCTGAACAGTACAGGACCACAGAAATTTCAAATTAAAGATGCTTTGAGTTTGAAAGAGCTATTCTGATGTAGCCAGTGTCTGAATTCTGACCCTCTCTTGCAACATTGTGCAATGATCAAAGTAGCACTGTAACCTTTTCAAAAGGCTTAACATTTTTCATAGCACTAGGAAACAGCACTGATTACCGTATTTTTGGAGTATAAGATGTTCCGAAGTATAAGACGCACCTAGCTTTTGGGGAGGAAAACAAGAAAACAAAAATCTGCCTTTGCCTCCTAGCAATTTGCTTTCTTACAGCAAACAGCCTGTTTCAGTTTCAGTTTGAGCATAGCCTGATTAGCACAAGAAAAAAGAAATCTGCTTCTGCCTCCCAGCAATTTGCATCCTTACAGCAAACAGCAAACAGACCCATTTCAGTTTCAGTTTCCATTTCAGCACAGCCTGATTAGCAAAAGCAGCTGATTGTCGGTTGGATTGGTCTCCCCACAACCAGCTGTTTCAGGCTTTAGTGATTGCCATAGCCTATTGCTGCCTCTACACACACCCATTTTTGGCCTCTGTGCATCCTGTTTTCTTCCCGTTCCAGACGACGGCGATCAAAATGAAGCTGAAACTGAAACAGGCTGTTTGCTGCAAGGAGGCAAATTGCTGAGGGGCAGAGGTCAAAGAGTGGTGGGTGGTGGGGAGGTGGGCTACATTCAGTGTATAAGATGCACCAAAATTTCTACTCTCTTTTCGGGGGGAAATTGTGTCTGATACTTGGAAAAATATGGTATTTCTAAGATATGTTTGCATATTTCCCCTCATAAATATGATTAAATGGTCCTGATAAAACTTTATCTATTTTTCTTTTATGGGAACCTTGGAGAGCCTCCCTCACTTCTTTCTTTCCTTCCTCTCCATCCATCCATCCATCCATCCATCCATCCATCCCAGATTAATCAGAACACAGACAGATACACAAAATCCAACACCCAGGTAAATAGGAATCAGCATCAGATAAAAATAATAAAAGAAGAAACAATACACCACCCCAAAACAAGGGAGAAACTGGTAGGAAACATTGCCATATCTAGACAGTTACGAAGGTCTTTCTCCCCATGCACCAACTAACCTGTAAGAGAAGCTAAGTGGAGAACACCGAGAAATAAAGGTCCTTTTGAATGCAGAAAAGCAGCTCTGAGTTATTTGGACCATGGTTGGTTCCATATGGATTGCTTGGGATAATGTAGGCTGCCTCATCTATAGTATGTATCATTTTTATATTATGTAAATTATTGAATGAGGTGTCAAGTTCCAAAATAGATGTAAGAAGAGTTGCTTTATTATGCAGTTTCTTATGACTTAGTTCCTTCAAAAGAGAATATTTAACAATTTAACAACAGATTTTTTTTTTACTCATTTAAATCCACTTAATACGAAAGTACCAAACCTCAGTTCACCAAATCAGGATAGTTGCAATACTTGTGCAGGAAAGGAAGATACCAGAAGCTATGTTTCTAAAACATAGGCATGGAACCATCGCAAGCAGGACCTTCTTCTAAAACAATTGCTGATGTTGGCAGCATATAGCAGAGCAGAAACTTGGAAAACGTTGAGTCGAACTTCCATGTTCATCAACAGCTGACATATGCTCAGTCACTCTATTACTTTATCTGGCTCACGCTCATCTTCTCCGGAGCCAGGACCACAAATACCCAGGTAGCGCTCTTTGAGAAGTTCTGTGTTGGAGGCCATGATTTTTTTGTAGATGGAGGTCTGCCCTTGATTTTTGTGTGTCATTCCAAGGTGTGTTAATTCCCAATAAGCAGTGAATTGGGTCTGGAGGACAGCTGAATTCTCATTTCCTTGACATGAACTATATTTCATTTTAACGCAACACCGTTGTGATCATCCCCAATTATATGCTTTTTAATTATTTCCCTTTCTTCCAAAATTACAATATAATGAGCATGGCGGTTTCAGAGAACCATACCCCAAACTGGGAGCCCCAAGGGTCGCATATAGGTGCAGGTGGCAACTTTTGATCTATTACCCAATCCATTTAATTGGTCAAAGGGGATTCTTTGAAATTGAAAAATTAAATTAAATTCAATGATATGCATGTACTCTATTGTTGGAATGCCGGGCTTCTCCCTAACGGAGTATTAGTTCTCCTACAGGAGTTGGTTGGTGGCTGATGTTCTTAAAATCAGTAATGTATCTAAATTAGCCCTGAGACAGGATGCTCGCAGTGCAATCCTTGCAGAGATACAATAATTCTGGAAACTCAAGGAAGGAAGGTGTTCATAAGCAGTTCGTAATAGGCTGCTGCCTTAGTGAGGAAACGATGGGGCTCTGAATAATTTGCTCCTTCTGCTCCAGACAACTGAAATTGTAACTGCTGTGGGAATGTAACACTCAAGAGGAATAAAGCGAGTGAATAGCGAGTGAATAGTTCTTTAAAATATATTGATTTAACAGATCTGCTTCTCTGATGACAAGTTCATGGATTTTAAACAAATTGTATTCAATCAGCTCACCACTGAAATTTGGTTACGAGCTGTTCAAGTGCTCGCTACAAGCCATCATGTTCTGAGTGAAACCCTATATGTTATAGTTTATGAGTGTTTGGGGGATGTTTAATAGGGAAAGATAAAAGGCTAGAGAGAAAGAGACGGCAAATCCACAAGGTAAGAAAAATGATGCAAGAAAGAGCTGAATTCACCTTGCACAAATGTGTGCTTGGGCCTGGCATTCAGTGTTGATCTCTCTTCCAAGTACCAAGCAGACCTGAACCCTCGTTATCTTGTTAATCCAGACAAGATCAGCTATATTATGGCATCCGCTGATAAAAAAAATAGATTGTTTTAATTAAATGGATTTAAATGGAAAGCTGACATTCCATAAAAGCAAAGTAGGGTGAGCTGCAAAAAATCAGGGAACCAGTAGATGTCATCAGTGAAAGAAAAAGGAATCGAATCCTTCTCTGCCATCTAGTGCTCATCTAGAATTTTGCCATACATATATGGTAGTCCTCATCCTCCAGGACTATCTGCTTCAATCTATAGATCTTGCAATTGTACAATGATCCTTAGGGATTCTTGGAAAATCAAAATAATGAATAGTTGCAATCTAGTGCTTTGGTACTATGGCTAACAATCCCAAGGGATAGGTTTGAATAATGGCAGTTTGCTTAGAAAATTGGTAGTTATGGGCCTAGCCATGCCTAACAAGGCTGTATTCTATGAATGGTTAAGGGACTAGGCTAGAAAGCAGCAGGCCATAAGTTTTAGTTTCACCTTAATTAAGAAAGCTGGCTGGTTGTTTTGGGGCCAATCAACAAGTGACTGGGAGTTCTAGTCCCACCTTAAGGGATGCAGTAGCTCAGTGGGTAAGACACTGAGCTTGTCGATCAGAAAAGTCAGTGGTTCGGGGATTCGNCTCTGTTCCAACTGCCAGTTGCCTTATATTAACACGCTCTGATGCTAAGGTGTTAGACATTCTACTTCTCCTCCCCACCTGAAAAAAACTCTGTTCCAACTGCCAGTTGCCTCACATTACGTTAGTTCAAACTGGCAGATGTTCCATTTCTTCACTCAGGAGTGGTCTGGGGCTCCTTACTGTACTAATCGTCAGTATCTCACCAAAATATCTAAGCCTTCCACGTATGGAACTGCTCCTGGATTCAAGGCGATGGGAGCCATATTTCCCCATGTGTTTCAATCACCAGCCACCACTGAGCCAATTTTTCCTACATAGCCAGATCACATGATTTCATTGCGAAGCACTGGTATCCAGGTAGTTCTTAATAAAATTGATTGTGGTTTAAATATAACTTCCTTCTAAAAAAAACATGTCTACAATTAACTGCGTTTGTCAGCTTTGGGTATTGGCTTATCTGAAATTGATATAAAAGTTTCCAACTCCTTGCTAGCTCATTGGAGTTGGACTAAGAAGGGGAAATATGGTAAAACATGGGTTAGTGATATCTTTAGATAACCTTATTTCTAGAACCATTTCCCATTAAGTTTCTCTGCTGGAGATGCTAATCAATTCACACTGTTCAGGAAGACTTCTGTAGCATTTACTGGTTTAATTGCTTTTCAGTGTTGCCAAACCAATGTCAACATAAGGAGAGGGGTCAGCTGCAAATTGAGTTGAAGGAATTTTAGTAGAAGTAAGCAATTCGTACTTTTCCTTAAATCGGAAAGACTGCATTACATCCAGTGTATTCAGAGATAGAATTCAGCCAGTTCTGACTGGTTCTGGCGAACCAGCAGTGGAAATTTTTAGTAGTTCGGAGAACTGGCAAATGCCACCCCTGGCTGGCTCCATCCCCATCTATTCGCTGCCTCCCGAGTCCCAGCTGACCAGAGTCCCAGCTGATCGGCTGGGTCTTCTTCTGTTGCCCTACACAGGAGAACGGAGCTGGAAAGCAGGTTAGTGGGGTGGGGAGGGAATGGAGATTTTACAGTATCCATGCCCTGGAGTGGGGTTGAAATGGTTTTTTTTTTCAGTATTCTTCCCCTTCAAAGGTTTGATGGCAAACCTTTGAAACAGGTGACAAAGGTTACACACCATTATATTTTGGGTGACATGTCAGTGTTCACCCAACAAAAACTATTCTTGAAAGCATGCCCCACTCTCACACAATTTTTGGAGGCTGTGGAGGCCGCATGAAAATAAACTGTGGTCTTGTGCAGCGTTTGGACTCTTCAAAAACGAGTTTGTTTTACTTGTAGTTTGTATTTGCAATTATATTTGGCATTTCTTTATATAAAATACAAACCATTGCACATGATTAAACTGTTTTTTTTTAAATAACCGATTATGTAAAGAATTGTTTCCCTTTTGTCCTGGGGGTGGTCATGATAAAACATAGAATGACAGAGTTGGAAGGGATCTTGGAGGTCTTCTAGTCCAACCCCATGCTCAAACAGAAGACCCTTTACAATTCCAGACAAATGACTATCCAGCGTCCTCTTAAAAGGCTCCAGGGATTGGGTACCCACGATTTACAAAGGCAAGGCATTTTACTGGTTAATTGTTCTCACTTTTAGGAAGTTTCCCCTCGATTACAGGTTGCTTCTCTCCTTGATTAATTTCCCTCCATTGTTTTTTTTTTGTCTTGCCTTCTGGTACTTTGTAAAATAGATTTGACCCCCCTCTTCTTTGTGGTAGCCTCTCAAATATTGGAACACTGCTATCATGTCTCTCCCAGTCCTTCTGATGGTGGAGACCCTCCAGCAGAGTCAAGTTAGGCCTTTTCCAAATTTTTTGCCACAGCCCAAATGTTCACCATCACTAAACTTTCACAACTGAAGATTTCTGCATGTAAGGAAACTGTAATCAACTTTTCTATAATGGCAGTTAATAATCCTTGATGGGAATTGCTCCTTTTAGGCTTGGTTCTATCACTTGATGTTCTTCCTTTTAGTACCCATTCACCTGAAAATTTCTTTTCAAAGCAAATAGATGAGGCATTGTATTTAAGGATTGGGGTGTTTGATCTTCTTCACCCCAATTACATATTTTTAGATTCAGATATGGTACAACCTAATATAGCTGTGCTGTCAATGTTCACTCTATTTATAGAGGACATGGACAGAATATCTATCTATGCTCCCCTCTTTGCTTTTCTCTCTCCGAACCCTTTACTATTTGTGCTTTCAGTAGCGTGGATCATTCATAACTGATGCCTAGCTGAAATAATCCAGCATTCTTCAAGCATTCTGGTTATGCTATATTTGATAAGAGAAATCAGAATAGCCTAATTTATTTTCTGCAGCAAGGTTGGAAATGGGCAGACATGCTTGCCAGTTCCATATATTTGGGCTAAATCAAGTATGAAATGCATTGCTTCCCCAAGTCATCCAAGTAGTGCTGCCAGATGCCAGTAAATGGGGTTGCAATGCCGTATCTGCTTACCGAGGATGGGTTTCCATAATTATTTCTGAGGGCTTTTTTTTTCTTCATTTGATTTGTCTTCAATATTTAAAATGGCAAACTCTTAAACTGCCCCCCCCCCAAAGTCACGTAACATCTCTAATTTGACCTGTAACAGTATCCACTCTGGAATTTATTCCATTCATTTATTAATCTACACAAATCAAATAACTTTCATATATTGAGTGCAACATATGAAAAAAGTGGTATATATGTGTGTGTGTTTGTGTTTGTGTGTGTGTGTGTGTGTGTTGTATTTGTGCGGATAAATAAATAAAGGGAGACTAGTATAGATCTATTTCAAGCTATTTAGNCTTGCCTCCAGAAGTTGTGAATGCTCCAACATTGGAAGTCTTTAAGAAGATGTTGGATGGCCATTTGTCTAAAATGGTGTCCCTTCCAAGGTCCTTTCCAACTCTGCTATTGTATTGGAAGGAGAACTTGCTGACCCTTGCAGGGCCTCCTTTTTTGCGTATTACACAACATGCTTCTTCAAAATATGAAATATTAAGTTGAGTCTCTTCTCTTTAGTTATCTTGAAGAGAATCGTTTCATCAAATATTGGAATCCTAAGCCATTAATGACCTTAAAAGCAGGAGTGAAATCCTCCCGGTTTGGCCCGGTTTGGCTGAACCGGTAGGGACAATTGTCCTTGGTTCTGCAAACCGGTAGTAAAAAAAAAAAGCTTCAGGCGATTTTGCAGCTCAGCTGTGAGCTGCACGACCATCAGAAGCTCCCCCTCCCCCGCTTTTTAAAGAATTATTTTTCCTGCTGGTTTTTCCCTGAACCGGCAGGGGGAAATGGTATAAAAATATAAAAAAATAGCTTCCAACAATCGCGCGGCTGACAGCTGA